TTTTTTTTTTTTTTTTAAATCTGCATACTCTAAAACAGGTATTGTGTCACAAAAAATATTCCTCAGTCAGGCTCTTGGGGACTTTAAGAGGAAATGAGATATTGAGCCCTTGACAGTCATTTGTGGCAGCTTCATTGATTTTCCCTTTCCTTTTTTCCCTTCAGTTTCACTTGGCGAGAGTTTAGAGGTCCAGCAACAGGACTGTTTTCCATTCCAGTTTTTGCTTGCGTATGAAATCCCTGATTTCTGACTTAAGGCCATTCAGTGAGGAAAGAGCTGTGGTCATAGATGCTCCAAGATCTACACCTGAATGTTTTCCAAAGGTGTTAAGGTCTCCAGTATATTCATCTTTCTATTTGTCTGTGACCATGGTCTCCAAAATTTCTAATATTTATAGTGTTTCTAAATTCCTCTGGTTTTATTATAGAATTTGACATCTTTAAAGCCACAATCAGAATATTCACAGTACCTTTTCCATTGAATTTTATCACATATGAGGTTCCTAATAACATATAAATCAATTGATGTAGATCTGGGAACTCTCAATTAAATGCCCTTAGAACCACAGCAAATTGCTGTAAATCTCCGCCTACCCTGCATAGGCTTTGGAAAGCCTTTGAAAATCACTTTCAGACCACAATCAGGGCTCAAGTTCCACTATAAGGGGCTTTTTCTGACCTGGATAACTTTAAGAGCCAATTCAGCCTTCAGAGTGGTTGGCTGGCCAGCAGGAAAGGACAGCTGGTCAGAAAGAGGGTTGGAGGCAGGGGATAAGGGAGGACCACAGGATAGAAGAAGAGGGAGGGTTACATCAGAACTTTTAGGTTCAAGTTATGGTTTGGGCAGATCAGAAAGACAGCCTTCCACATTTTTCGTTTGTCTCCTTCACAGAATATTTAGAGAGGCAATCGTGGAATCTGAATTTCTCTTGCAAGCTTTCTCATACCAATAATAATAATAAAAAAAAAAAACACACAGGTCATTGAATGTTTGCATTTTTAGTCCCTTTCCATTCTAAAAACAAACAAACAAACAAACAAACAAAAACACTTCTCAAATGAACAATTTTGTTCCAATGAAAGGTTTTCCCAAATGGCCACTAAAGTTAAACTACTGTTGGTAAAACTGTGCCATTTCGGACACAACTCACGTGTATTCGTTACGGTATAAATACACGCAAGAGGCCTTCAGGAGACACACACCTGGGTTTAGTCTGAGACAAACGTGTGACAGTGTGGCAACGGTCCGTCAATTCAGTGGCTTGTTTACCTATGTCCTGGGCTCCCCAACCTATTGGCTTGGTGGTCTCCCCTAGCAGACCTGACAGGTCTTGGAAGACACGAGGTTGAGACATGAACTCCCACCCATCCAAGAGCAACAGAAGACCACGAAAAGCACAGTGACCCAAACCAACGTTGTTAGTACTGAGACAGCTTTCTGCCAGGGATATATGCCTACAGAGAGGATCAAATCATCAAAGAGTCCCTGAAAGGCAACCTCACAGGACAAAATACACTTAGCACTTCAGAGCTTGATGAAGACTGGAACTGAGACCTAATGCCTAATGGGGACACTTACCTCATTGCAGGCCTCAGGGGGGCTCCCCATTTCTGAATTAAGGGACTTGGGCTTCAGCACAAAGGGGACTTTAAATAGGGTCTCGGTGGGATTTCCAGGGTGTTTAGCTCACCAAAGTATCACCGGATAACCCTTCAATAAACAAAAGTCTCAGGCGCCTGGGTGGCTCAGTCCGTTAAAGTGTCCAGCTTCGGCTCAGATCACAGTCTCGCGGTTCATGGGTTCGAGCCCCGCGTCAGGCTCTGTGCTGACAGCCCGGAACCTGGAGCCTGCTTCGGATGCTGTGTCTCCCTCTCTCTCTGCCCCTCCCCCACTCTTTCTCTCTCTCTCAAAAATAAACATTAAAAAAATTTTTTTAATAAACAAAAGTCATATTTAGAACTTACTGCATTAAGGGACAGCACCATTGTGACAGTTTTAGCAGTGTCCCAGGAGAGGTCAGTCAGAAGCAGAAAAAAACTGTAGGACTTTGGGGTCTGCACTCAGTAGGTTAAGATGGTGTAGGATTGGGCAGTCTGTGATGTCACCGTTCAAGACTGGTTGACACATGAAGGGGAGGGTCTTGATAAGGAAGCTGTTACTGACAAGAAGGCTGTTGCCAGAGTGAGGTTACTGTCTTCGATACACTGATTGGTCGGCATTTACTGCAGCAAAATGTGGATTTAATCGCTAGTTTGCAATCTTCTCTTTCCCAGGCTAAAGTTTCCTAGAAGGAATAACTAAGTGGCATTGACATAAGTGTGTTTATCGTTGTCTCCAAGTCAGGTTTACAGATGGCCTCAATTCTCAAAGACTCTGATTTTAATACCAGTAAAAACAGAATTTCAAATGAAAACATCAGATATTACAAAAATAGACATACACCAGTAAAAGAAAACAATTTGATTAAAAAACACATTACAAGCATTTCATTTTATTTATTTATTCATTTTATGTATTTGAGAGAGAGAGAGCAAGGGAGAGGGGCAGAGGGAGAAAGAGAAAGAATCTTAAGCAGGCTCTAATATGGGGCTCAACACGGGGCTCAATCTCATGACCTTGGGGTCATGACCTAAGCCAAAATCTAAAGTTGGAAACTCAATGAACTGAGCCACCCAGCGCCCCACATTTCACTTATTTTATTTTTATTTTTATTTACTTTAGAGAGAGTGAGAGCACGAGCTAGGGACAGAAGCGGTGGGAAGGAGAGAGAGAGAGGAAGAGAGAGAGGGAGAGAGAGAAAGCCCCATGGGGGCTCAATCCCACAAACTGTCAGATCATGACCTGAGCTGAAACCAAGAGTCAGATGCTCAACTGAGCCACACAGGCAGCCCCCCCACCCAACACATTTCATTTTAAAATTCACTCTCAAGAACAGAATATTACAATAAGCTCAAACTTAATATCCAGCAAGAAGGGGGCACAGAGAATTAGTTCCCCAAATCAACCATGTACAAAGTCACAAAGAAACCTCAATGCAGCTCTAAGGTCAGCATCATCTATAGTACAACTAAGTATAATAAAATTAAAAACTACTAACAAAAACTTCATGTGTCCTTTTCCAATGACAAAAAAAATTTAATAACTTCTCAAAGAGAAAAAGTTGAAAGGAAATTATGGTAAATTTACAACACCTCAAAGAAAAAAGTCGAAAGAAAATTATGGTAAATTTACAGCTCACCACAGAAAGCAAGAGCCAAATGCAGCAGGAAAAGGTAAAACAGCCACTGTCCCCTTCGACCTTCAAGGCACTCTTCAACACCTAATGCACGCTGGTCTTCTAAGACTGGTCTTTCTTTCAAGTATACTTTTGGCCAGCTTGAAATAATAACAGGGGTAAGAAGATAACATTTTTGAGAGGAAAAAGTCTGTATGTGCTTCCTGCTGTATTTCATATAAAATAGATCATACCGTTAATATGATACATTTTTAAAATATGTTTTCATCGTTGATTTGCAGTCTCCACACTATGCCCTGCCCTAGGAGTGTCCTAAATGCCCGAGAGTCTCAATGTGGTGGCCCATTAGGGTCCTAAGCCCACATCCTACTCCAAACCAATTAAACCGGAAACTCTCCAGGATACACTCAAGCATGTTTTCGAAACCTCTGATTGGTATTTCAAGTGCAAAGCAGAGAAAGGCTCTCAGAGAGAATCATCAAGAGAAAGCTCCAGCTAGGACTTCGATCTTACTCCCGGTCTGACCTTGCCTCCTCCCTTCCCACAGCTTCATCAATATCTGAAGACAAATATAGCAAACTGATGAAACAGGAGTAGAAAGACAGCAAGAAGAATATCCCAAAACATCCCACCATGCCATGATCTTGGGCTGACTCCCCGAGTGTTCCCAACATAACAGAGATAAATAACAAAGCTCGGATCTTGGGCACAGGAAACCAACTTCACAAATAATGGGTAATGTGCATGTGACTAACACCAGTGCACATGAAAAATTCTTGAGGAATTTAGTTGATTTTTTTTAATGTTTAAAAAATTGTTTTAATGTTTTATTTATTTTTGAGACAGAGAGAGACAGAGCATGAGCAGGGGAGGGGCAGAGAGAGAGGGAGACACAGAATCCGAAGCAGGCTCCAGGCTCTGAGCTGTCAGGACAGAGCCCGATGTGGGGCTCGAACCCATAAACCGTGAGATCGTGACCTGAGCCGAAGTCGTACACTCAACCGACTGAGCCACCCAGTTGCTCCGAATTTAGTCGATTTTAAGTGTAGTGTGAGTCAGTAGTCATTTGGCTGCCAGCAAATGAACTCCACCGGAGGCTGGATCAATAAATGTATAACGTCTGGACACAGAAGACTCTTTGTACGTGCTTACGGGAACACTTTAAGTACTGAGTCATGTTCTGAGCAGCATACTATATGAAGAACATGGAGAATGAGATTAAGGTTGATGAGGGAACCTGGAACTGTCATCTTCACAAAAAGGATATTTTGCTGGGAGGAAAGCTAGCATAGGGAAAACATGACAGATGTTTTCAAAATATTCGAAGAACTCACATGTGGAAGTTAGATTAGATTTATTGTGTAAAGTCCAGAAGTCGAAAGCAATGGCTAGATGGAAGGAAATGCTTTTCGGCAGTGTTGGTTTTGCAAACGCACAGAGGACTCCCTGTCCCTGGAGCTATTTGAGCCTTCAAGTATGCAGTGGGTGAGGGCGGTTTCGGAACTTGCAGAGAACTGAATCAGATAACAGCGCGTCCTCCGTCTAAGACTTTAGGATCAGTGTACTGAAAAGTAGCTCGGGCTTCTCCTGTTCTGAACACTGTTGAAACCCAGTAGCTTGGTCATCAGCAACCCGTCCGCTCTGCCCCAAGGAGGAAGACACCAGGGCAATCAGCGCCACAATGTGATTTTCCCAATGGGGACACGCAGTGACTTCTCCGCAGAGGTCACTTCCTACAATAGGATCAGCACACGCGGCTCTTTATCGCTCCCTTTCCCATTTAAACCCAACTTCCCTGCAGAAACTGACGCCTCGTGACTTTGCTCTCCGCGAAGACTGTGGCCCTCCATCCCCACCCGCCCCAAGTTTGGGATTCCAAGGGGATCATTAGCATTCACCCTCGTAGCCCGTCCTGCACTCTGAGCTCTTGCTGCACATTAAAGTTGCCCAGAGGAGGGGAGCGAGGGGGCGGCGGCGGGCTCCGAGGTCCCGGCGGGGTCTCCGCCTTTGTGACGACTCTCTCCCGGACCTTCTGGAGCCCCCCGGGGGCACTTTGCAAACCTGGAGCGGG